GTATGCTCTTGAATACTCAATACCTAAATGGAGCCCTCCCAACATCTGGAAGAACTGGGGAGAGGTATTATGTTTAGGGGTTGAGAGTTGCCTACAGGTTGAGATTACCCTGCTTCCTGGCTTGGGTGGGAGCTAGACTTGCCAAGCCTCTCCCAGGTTCCCAAGAGGAGGGACCTGCTGTCAGTTAACTGGCCCCAGAGGCTCTGGAGACTCTGTTCCCATGGTGACAGCTGGGGGCCCTCTTCTTGGGCAGCCCTTCCTTGGACTCTGCCTCCTCCCTCTCCTTGGCTGAGCCTGGAAGCTTGGCCTAGGCCCTTGTGTTGCCCAACCCATGTGGCAGAGTGCCTCTCTGTGACCCTGATGGTCTTTCCCTGCAGGTGACCAGCATCATGTCCAGCCAGGTGGTGGGCATCGAGCCTCTCTACATCAAGGCAGAGCCAGCCAGCCCTGACAGTCCAAAGGGTTCCTCAGAGACTGAGACTGAACCCCCAGTGACCCTGGCCCCAGGTCCAGCTCCAGCCCGCTGCCTTCCAGGGCACAAGGAGGAGGAGGATGGGGAGGGGGCAGGGTCTGGTGAGCAGGGCAGTGGCAAGCTAGTGCTCAGCTCTCTGCCCAAACGCCTCTGCCTTGTCTGTGGGGACGTGGCTTCCGGCTACCACTATGGTGTGGCATCCTGTGAGGCCTGCAAAGCCTTCTTCAAGAGGACCATCCAGGGTGAGCCCCTACCCCTCATCCCCTGCTTCTGTGCCCTTTGCCCTGTACTCTTTGGTCCTGGCACCTTCCAATAGTGCTGGTACAGTGATGTATGCAGAAGGCCCTGAGCCTGACTGGTGCTGCTTGAGGCTGGCAGCCTGGAGTTTGAATATCCTTGTATTTACCAGGGACATCTTTTTTTTTTTTTTTTCTTAAAGACATGGCTGAGGATGTAGCTGAGTTAGTAGAGTGCTTGCAAGGAGGCTCTAGGTTCTGCCCGCATCACTGTATAACCAGGTGTTGCATATCTAAAATCTCAGCACTTTGGAGATAACTAGGAGAATCAGAAATTCAAGGTCATCATTAACTACTAGTAACTTCAATTAGTAAGTTGAAAGTCAGCTTTGACTATGTGAAACTCTAACTCAAAAAAGAAAAGAAAAGCCATTAGCATAGATCACTGGATTGGATTGGAATGAGATATAAGCAAGGATAAGATGCAGGTTCCTGCATCTGTCATAAAATTTTGCCTCCACCCCCTTCTCTGTAGCAGCCCTGGCTGTCCTGGAACTTGATTTGTAGACCAGGCTGGCCTTGAACTCAGAGATCTGCCTGCCTCTGCCTCCCCAGTGCTGGGATTAAAAGTGTGCGCCACCACACCCTGCTTTCCTGGCTTTCTTATTGCCTCTAGTAGGTGCCTACTTATCCCCAGTACATCACAGAATTCCTTTTTTATGGGTAACTGATAAAGGTTTGTTATGTTTTAGTATCTTGCTTTAAAGAGATAAACTTCTGCTGGGCAGTGGTGGCCCATGCCCTAAATCCTAGCACTCTATGAGTTCGTGGAGAGTTCCTGTACTAAAAAACCCAAAAAGAAAAAAGGATAGGCTTGTCCACTCTTCAGTCAGTAATGTTTCTTTTCCTCACCCAGGAGAACATGTCAGCATGAGGACATGAGGAAGAAATTGATGTGAGCATTCTCTGGGGCAGGCCTCTTATGTTTTTATCCCACCATTGGTTACTTTAGCACTTTAACATGTATAATTTACAATTTTTTGTTTTGTTTTGTTTTGTTTTTCATGACAGGATTTCTCTGTAGCTTTGGAGCCTGTCCTGGAACTCTCTTTGAAGACCAGACTGGCCTCGAACTCACAGAGATCCACCTGCCTCTGCCTCCCGAGTGCTGGGATTAAAGGCATACACCACCACCACCTGGCTTTACAAAAAAATTTTTGAGACATTATCTTATTAAGTAGTTGGCCTGGAACTCAACGTTCCAGGCTGGCCTAGAACTCTCTATCCTTTTGCCTGAGCCTCCCAGGAGTGCTGTAGTTATAGGCAAACCCCACTGCAACTAATTTTTTAAAAAATTCTTTAGCATGTATTTATTTTGTGTGTGAGTGTGTGCATACACTTAAACCAGTGTATGTGTGTGGAAATCAGAGGATAACTGTGGGAGTAGGCTCTTGACTTCCACCGTATAGGACCGGGGATTAAACTCAGGGCATCAGGTTTGGCAGCAAGTACCCTTACCTACTGAATCATCTTGACAGCCCTCAACTGGTTTTTGAACACTTTTTTTTGAATGTTTATCCTGTGCTTTGTACTGTCCCCTTTTACCTTCAGGATCTCAGCCCCTTATTGCAACCCTATGGAAAATGGTCAGTAGTGTTGAGATTAAAGCACTGGGAGGCTTTCGTAGCTATTCAGATCTTTCAAGTAGAAAAGGACACTCTGGTATTACCTGAGCTCTTACACTCCAGACTGCTGCCTCTGTGTATCACTAGTAACTGGACTTTGAACTACTGATAGTGACATTCCAGTGAGGTGTGTTGTGAGGATTTTGTTGTTGTTTTAAGACAGGGTCTCATTGTGTAATCCTGGCTGGCCTGCAACTCACCCTGTAGACCAGGCTGGTCTTAGATTCACAGAGATCCGCCTGCTTCTGCCTCCAGAATATTGTGACTAAAGGCGTTAATGTACTGCCATGTTGATTCCAGTTAGTCTAAAACTGCTCCTTCCTCTCTCTCTCTCTCTCTCTCTCTCTCTCTCTCTGGTTCTTCAATGAACACAGGGTCTCACTATGTAGACCAGGCTGGTGTCAAACTCACAGAGATCCACTTGTTCCTGCCTTTTGAGTGCTGGGATTAAAGGTGTGTGCCACCATGCTCAGCTCCATTCATGTTTTTTCAGCTTTCCTTTTGTTGTATGATTTTGGGGGGATGGGGTGAGGGAGGTTGCTAGTGATGGAATCCGGGGCCCTGGGAATGCTAAGCATACACTGCATCAGTGAGCTACATTCCAGCCTCAAGTATGTTTTGTTTGTTTGTTTGTTTGTTTGTTTTTTTAACCATGCTAACTTTACAGTTAGGAAAACTGAAGGCTCACAAATATTAGGAGTAGGAAGTACAGTTGGACAGTGGTGGTGAACACCTTTAATCCCAGCCCTCTGGGGGCAGAAGAAAGCAGATCTCTAAATTCAAGGCCAGCCAGGACTATACAATGAGACCCGTCTCATTTGAAAAACAAACAAGGGCTAGGAAGCACCTGAGATCACAGTTGATATTCAGGAGACAGAGGCAGGTGGATGGATCTCTCTTAAGTCTGAGGTCAGCCTGATCTACATAGCTGAGTTCCAGGGAAGCCAGACCTGTATAGTTAGAGACCCAGTCTCAAAATAAACACATAAATAAGTAAATAAACCACAGATGGCAAGGCCCGATAGTCCTTGCTTTATTTTTCTTTCTTAAGTATGGTCTTGCTGTGTAG